TGTTGCTGTGTGCGTTAGTGCAACAGCATCTCCTTCTATCTCATAATTTCTTAGTACATTGCGTATTGATATTGTAGTTTGAGAATCAAGTTGTGGTGACGAAAATAGGCATGCAATTTCTTTAAAATAAATTAATTCATCAATCAGGATGCTATCGTCATCATTATTTGAAATGAGTTAATTAATTTTAATTACACATAGTTCTAGTATAAAACATTGCGCTTGGCAGAAAAAAGCTAGCAAGCGCTTACAAGGTGAAATAGTTTTCCAGAATTGCTAAGTAGCGCGCACAATCCGCCATTTTGCTTATTTAATTTGTTTGTTTTGAAGTAGAGTTTTTAAGTTGTTTTATGCAATATTAGTTTTAAGTAATATATTGACATGTAAACATATATACATGTTATTAAAAATTAATGATTGGCAAGTTTTTAATATATACACAAAATTTAAATTAGGTTAGGTTTACCGATTAAAACTAACATCGTGTCCTGGAGGAAAATAGACTTACGATTTAACAGGATTACCTTAGATCCTAAAGCGCTTGTAGCTTTTTTCTGCCAAACGCACCCATTTGCAATTGTTTTAACGGTACTTCTATTTTAATTGAATTAATATTCGAATTTCATTAAAACCAAGTAATAATTTTACTAGTGAAATCGAGATAGTCACTTCAGCACTTAATTGAAGTAAATTAGATACCTAATGTTAAATAACTACAATAAGGGGTAGCTAAGAGTTAATTGAGAAAATATTTACCATTTGTAGTATTATAAATCTTAAATTATCATATTATGATAAGCTATGGTGAATATAGTGCCTTAAAATCGTTTACTACAAATATTTATTTCAATGTTAACATATTTTTTCACTTTTTAACTAATGTGTGATTGGTTATAAAACTTTGGTCACAATTTTTTTATATTAAAGGAAATTTCAAATATGTCGCATTTAACCCAAACTTTTGTTTCATTTCGCTAAACGCACATTTGTCTGCACCGTACGCGCAGTACGTACCGTACGTAATTATTTTTGTATTCCCAACAACTTTTACAGTTTTATTTACCACTGGTTTGAAACAGTACATTGACATTGATCGTTCGTAACTTTTTTTTATATTCATTGTTTGTTAAATTGCTTTAAATAAAAATAAAACATAAATTATCACACATTTTTAAATAAGGATGTTAGGATCGCGCCAAATGGAAGGCCCAAGCCTATCTTTACCAATAGCACTCCTGCTTATAGCATGATGCTATTTTACAGGAGCGATCAAACCATGGCTGAGATTTGCCTCCGATGGGCACCAAAAGGAAGGAATAAAAAGTTCCATATCCTGAAGTACCACATCAGCAACAGAATTCGCAACAACGTTGGGATCGTCTGGCGAGAAGCAAACCCGCCCCCAAGGGTAGGGGATGCAAAGAAAGATCGCTTCCTATCCCAATCGGCTGACCTATAGTGCCAAACACGGCGACAGCGTGCTGAATGCAACTGCGATTTCAGAGCGAGTGGCACCACACTCCGGACAAGTCAATGGTCCGAGGAGCCTAAAGGGGGGTCGGCGGAAATCTGATATCCGTCCGGGTGAGAGGTCAGCAAAAGGTCCAACAGGGAAGGTGCATGATCCTCCACATCTGGAATCCGCGTAGGAGAAGTAACCAGTTGTGTCAGACCATATGCCAAGGCAAAATCATGAACAGATCTCTCCGCATGATCGGTTGTACGTGAACCAATCCATTCGGCGTGATGGGCGTTAACTCCCAGGCTCTGACAGCGCGCGACATGTTATACTCGCGTTCGCTCGGGACCTTAATGGCGGGAAAATTTGTAAGTTAGAAAATTTTTTGCTATATTGCAAATTTTGCTATATTTTCACTTTGAGACAATATTTATGGATAAAACTTACAGGATTTCTTGTTGAATGTACAAACTATCGAATAAAATTATTAAAATGTATAAACTATCGAATAAATATTTTTGGTTGCTAGAAATTGTAATAAAATACATAAATTACCCTGTATAGCATAGTAGTAGCATATACTTCAATTTTAGTGACAAAATTACTACTAATTTGAATTCTACACTTTTGTTTTTGGAGAAATTTTTATGAAAATGTTTGGAAATATGTATATTTTTATGTTTTATATGTTTCCATTCGTTACTCATACCAAAATATTAAATTATTAAAAAATTAAAAAAAAAACAATAATAATATTTTATCTGTGTGACATTTAGAACAATATTTCAAAAATAATTATGTGTGAATTTGAAATAAATACAACGTCAAGTTATTTGAAATATGTAAGAAAACTATTTTTACTTACATTTTACACTAAAAATAAATGAGAATTTGAAAAATAACACATTTATGACCCAACCGCCAAAATGGGTCTTCCAGATTTTGAAGTACTTTTGGCAATTTACTTTTCACTTTTTATATCACAAATTATATATCTACGTGTTCACTATATTACAAGGAATATAAAAAAAGTATAATACTTTCGTTTTTAGTCCAGACACAAATATAAAATTCTATAAAAAAAGACGGAGCACCTTCATCAAAACGACACGTGGAACGCCGAAAGTTCAGAGTGATTTCTTTTTTTTTTCTAAGAAACATTGCCAGGTTATGGTTTAAAATAAAAAAGCATATCTTTGTCTTTGATACTATTATCTATTGCATATTGTCTTTGGTTTTGTTTTAAAGGAAAAAATAGTTTTTTCATAAGGCAGTACTTCTGATCCGACCTGATCTAATTCGACCCGTACCAGAGCCGACGTAAGGTAGGTATTGTATGATCTGATTAGATCGGTAGCCGAGTCAATGGGTTGCTGAGGATCACGATCTCTGCGGAAGGGATCTGCTGTAGCAACGAATCTGTAGCCATTTGGACGTGGTCGAAGAGTCGGTCTGTTTCGGCATTACCGCTGTGGGACCTATAGAGGCACCCGTAGATGCGCGAATGGTCGTTGCTGTCTACGCGTAGCCAAAGGACGGACAGGTCTGAAACCTTCAAGACTGCCGAAGCGTCGAGAACAGATGTCCTCTCTGGCGTAAACGCAAACTCCAGCTCGAGGCACAAAAGAGTGTTCTAGTTTGTACCCCAGGTAGGAGAGATACGAGATATCAGCCGGAGAGGACACCTGCGTCTCGGTCAGAAAGAGCAGAGCTAGCCGCGCCATCTCGAAATGGTAGTGGATGGCGTTTATTTTAAAATAAAGTCCCCTGATATTGCAGAAATTCATGAATAGCGTGGCAGGGGTCGCCTTGGTCTTGTTGCTCCGTTAGCACCCACGCTCAGGAGTGGAGTAACATGGTCGTGGATGCTCAGCGAGGGATTCTCCAGGGGTGCTGGTACCCTCCTGGGGTAGTTTGACATTTAATTCCGTATATCATAATAACCATGTTGATGGGGGGGGGAGATTTGGTTCTCCGGCCACCTGCACTCACCAGACAAAACGCGGAAGCAGAGCTTTCCACTTCACGCCGGTATTCTGTGAGGTCGTGGTACCACCCCGGTTTGAGCCGGTTTGAGTGGCTCTACCACGAACATTGAAGTAATATGTACTTAAGTACTAGAACAGCTATCTCAAACAAAAAATGTGCGCTACCCTGTGTTCGCGCGGTTGTTTTTTTTATCATAGAATAAACATAAGTAGAATGACCCGTAGGTAATAGTAGATTTTATTGTTAAATAGGTAAATTATATCGAGAACAATATTTAAATTATGTCATTTATTTTGTATATTATATTTGCTTATTTTATATATTACATTATATTATATCACAATTACATTTTGATGATATTTTTATCTGAATATTTTAAAATTTATCTAAGTCAAATTTAAAAACATACTATATGTATGTTTAACAAAACTTATTAACGTAACATTTAAATTACAAATATTAAATTAGAATAAAAGTCGTTCATAAATGCTGGGCACGCGAGAGTTAAAATTGGACGAATTTATACCACTTTGACTTTGATGTGTAAACCTAAAAATAAAATAAAAGAATAATAAGCAGATTTAAACATGAAAATTTTTGCCAAATTATAATAACTTATATATGTCTCTACAAAAAAATGTGTATAATAAATATATTATTCGTCCTATACTTAAGTACCCACAGAAATGTCGCATCTGAACATATTAATTTCATAATCTATATTCCCTGACACGAGATGGCGTCTTAGGAATAATTTGTTTTATTATTAATACATAATACTTTTTATTAATTAAGTATCTTATTAACCGATGAAAAGTAATTCCTTGGTTTTTACTGATATTTCTTGAACGGCATATTTTTATCAAAAAAAAAAATTTAAATCAACACAACACGTGACAACTCTATAAGCGTCTAGCGAGTGACTGATTAAAGTACGGTGTATGCACCGCAGTTGAGTGGAACAGTGTAGCTGAATGCAGTGTCGCCTCTAACCAAAGAGAGCGTACGTGGTACATATTAGCTCAATGACTACGAATAATAAAACAATGTAAAGAAAAAAACTTAAATTATCCTACAGTCCTAATCCCCGCGGTATAGTGTCAAGAACCTAAAGTTTTCTTGCTGAATGTGATCACTTAATGCTATATTTTCTTTTTTATCAGACCATGTAAGTACACTGCTGGATGCTATTGAACATGACTATCGCAGTAAGAGACGTCTAGACGAGAAAGTATTCGACCTATTATCAAAACCCAAAAATTTACTGGCATTTCCCATGGTCACGAAACCCACGGGACGAAAAAGTGTGACGGACACTCTATACCAGTATGTTAATGGTGTATACAACTAAAAAGTTTTTTTAGAAATAATTTTATTGCTTGCTATTCGATTCCTTCCGCAAATATTTTGGCAATATTTTTCGAGATTTAATCATTAGTTGAAATTAAAATTCAAACTCGGCTTTGAACTTTCATAAAGAGTTATGAAGCTATACAATCTACTCGTAAGTTTTCGTAAAAACTGACACGTTGACATTTTTATTGAATGCAACTCACGTTGTGCGCATGTCGAGGCACGCCTGCACTACTAGCATTTTTAATCTACTGTAAACGTAGTGAAGTTTGATCTCCTGTATTTTAACAATAAAAATAATTATGTTAATTCAATGGTAACAAATTTTGGTTTGAGATAAAATTAATAATAGAAATAAATATGTACCAATATGTTATACCTATATCTCTGAGATTGCAATTTACCGTTTTAAATCTGACCGCCAAAATATGCGGAAACGGTTTGCTTTAATGAAATGTGTATGTATTGCTTCCGATTATGCTAGTAAAGTTCTCTTTTACATTTCATAGTGTCCTGAAATAAACAATTATATACACATATTAATAAAGTACTAAAAGGCATCCAAGCAATAACTCAAATATAAAAGTACGATACAAATAAATATAATTAGCGGCAATAGGTGGCGCCACAACTTCCTATTCCCGTCGACACCTCCTGTTTTTCATAATTTCCTAGTTTAGTATAGTAGCAATAGTTGAACGAAGTTGGTTCATAGTTTTACTACAAATATTTTTGAAGCCATTTTAGTAATTTTTTTCGTTCATAATTTTTATATGTGTCAACATGACAGACAACGCACAACGTTTACAGTCGAAATATAAAAAAAACATAGTATGGTTTACTGTGTTTTTTCAGATGTACTGATTCATCAGATGTACTGATTTGTACAAAAGAAATTTATATACTTAATACAAGACTTTTTCTATCTCCTGCTCCTTCATTTTTCTACAACCATCTCCTGTTTTCGGACGTGAAGTGGAATACATTAACGATGGCCTTCACGCCATCCATGGCACCGTGAAGAAAATAAATTGTACAATTGGTTATCATAACATTATAACAGACCTTAACTTGAAAGGTCATAAATTAAGGCGAAGCTGCAGTACTTTTTAACTATTTAGAACCTCTATTAAGTAAACTATTCAAAAACTGAACATACGAAATAAAAAAATCGAGGTTCTATATGGAAAATAATTAAAAAAGTACATCAAATGTAGACTTTATTATTTTTAAGTCATGTTAAAAACAGATTAAAAAAAATATTTTTATCTTATAAAAACAAATATACAAAATTGAACAGTTCAAGCGCTCGCGCCCGCCTCGGTTTCGGCTGCTACTTTCACTCTGATCTAGTACTCGTATAAATGTCTGACGAGAAATGTTGTCTGGTGTCTCCATTACCTTATTCCCTTTATCTCTTTCTAGAAGTTAATATTATTCAATCGAACCCCTTTACTAGTTATGATATCCTAGTGCTCTACATCTCTACTTTGCTGCGTACTTCTAGTTAGTTTTAAGAAGATCCTCTGCGTTATATCGTGTATAATTCGCGCTTACAATTTATACTCGAAACTACTAAAGAAAAATTATCGCTATACCTATTTCTTTTGACTGTCTTGAGAGCAACATGAATTTCTTAAGTGGACATCGATTTTTTGCGAAACCCCTAAATTTTATAACTTACATAGTATGAAAACTTTTTAAGGAGGTAAATAGTAAGAGAAATTAAGATAAGAGAAGTTCATTAATTTCTAAAAGGGTTTAGGTATTTAAAGGCCAGCGCGGAGTTTACATCTATCTTGTATATATAGAGGTCAGTGACATGAAGCCTGAGCTACTACGGCTCGAAGAAAATTCTACATTAACTTACGTACATCACATCACGCTGTCAAAATAGACAGAATCATAATTAACTATAAAGTGGGACTTTTAAATAATAGACAATAAATTATTCCAAAATTATTGGCATCATAGAAAAATATCATCATAGTGCAGTTTCACTGTGCAAATGTTATTGGGATACCATGAAATATGAGGAGGTATTGCTGCACCAACGCAAATGCACGTTGTTTCTCAACCTTCCTGCAACGGGTATCTAAAGTGGTACTATCGAGAGATAGAAGTTCAAAAATATCTAAAAGAATGTGTTCCGTCAACAATTAAAATTAATTTACATAAACCTAGTGACCACTGACTGTTGGCTGAAAAGCAGGGATTCTGAACTGTTGGTGATGACTAGTGATAGGAAATAATTAACACTATTATTTACTTTTTAACTGACCCAATAAAAAGTAACCTAAGTTTCATTACCTACTTGTTTTTCTAGATTCTAATTTCTGAATGTAACTAAAGTAATAAAGAAATTAAAAATGCGAAGGTAATATCTAGAAATATTTACTAAAAATATAACAATACCTTGATGATAGATACGACTAACAAACAAACAAATGTAATTCGACGAATGATGATTCCAATTTGTTTGTATAGCCTTCGTGATCATCTTTGCCCACATGTATAATTATATTCTTATGATAGTATCAATTTTGATATATCTGTCAAAGTTTTCGAAAGTAAGATTTTTCCTTTTTCGACGACCTTTGCCCAATCATCTTTAGTGTCTTTCTCGCAGGCTTCTTTTAATAGGCTCATCATTTTTTGTGCCGAATGGCGGAAAAGTATGGTGGCGGGCTGCGTAAATTTTATTTGAGCCCAGGTTAGCTCAATTGCATTGTTCTGGTAATGATAGGGAGGTATTCTGAGAACGCGAAGACCGTATTCCAGAGCCAATTCATCTATTTCATAACGCACATTTGCTGACTTGTTGTCTTTAACTAATTTAATTAATTACTCTTGTACGAGACAGGGCCACCGTACTAGAAAAGAGCCGTATGTATTACAAACTCCTAGTAAAGTAATAAAATTTCAGTCATGTATTGCATGAATAGAACCTGATAGACCTGGGTGGACATTTTAACAATTATATAATTTCGTTGTATAAATTTGAAGTTAAGATTTATGTTTTAATGTTCAATCACTTTCATAGAATAAAATAGTTTAATAATGCTCAAAATGCCGCAATATATAAGAGGTCGTGAGACCGAAGCATCTTCTATGCTTTTAAAAGTCTTTTTGATTTTTAATTTTTGTTCGGTTTTTAACAAATAATAATAAAAACGATAAGGTTAATATGGCGGGTGAGTTAGAATCTTGTGTTTAAGGAAATTAACCACCCACCATACAGCTCAGATCTAGCCCCTAGTGACTACTTTTTATTCCCCAACTTAAAAATGACCCTCGGGGAAAGCGATTTACTGACGATGACGAGCTCAAGTCCGCTGTAAATGAGTATTTTAAGGGTAATTTTCTCGTTTTCAAACTTTAATACTTTTGGCCTATTTATATTTCTCAAATATAGTGTATTATTATTTAATTATCCTTAATAAATATCTTAAACTTAGATTTATAAACTAAAACTAAAAACTTAGGGTTATAAAGGTCGGGCGTCATGCTTTATGACATTCTCTAAAAGTTAACCTGATAATAATAATTAAGTGGAATTTTATGACAAAACCTCAACGACTTTTTTATAGCATGGGGTATCAAACGAGCACACAGTCCACCTGATGGTAAGTGGTTGCTGTCGCCCAAGACATCTACAGCTATTCTCGATTACGAATCAAAATGTGCGTTGTCACCCGTGACGACTAAGATAGAATGCCCCGTCTCCAGTAAAAACCTCCAGTTCTCTATACTCACCATACGAAACACAGCAGCATTAACCTACTATTTTACGCTGGTATTCTGTGAAAGCGTGATCCTTCCCCGGTCGAGCTGACCCAATCGTGCTACAACCACACCACTAATATTTATAACAGCAGCATGGCTCTACCACATACAAAACTGTATAAATTACTCCAACACCAATTTTTGGGACGTACAGCTGTGGTAGCTCAAGGTATAAGCGGCCCCTGCAAATTTTAAAGTATATAAGCAACCCGGATTCGATCCCCGCCGGCATCAAGGTCTTTAAAGTTTTCAGAGATTTGTCACTAACCGGCGGTGAATGAACATATCAAAGAAAACCTGCATGTAGGAGAAATAAAAATATTTCGAACTTACGTGAATTCCTCCAACAAGCACGAGCTTTTTGCAGCATAATCTCTTACAATAAGAGGAGGCTTATGCCCAAGTATGAGACGTATAGATAGATTGCAACTCTATTTATAATAATATGGAATACAAAGAATACAACTAACGAAGAGATTAACATTCACTACAATTTAGGAAAAAAACACAGATTTTAGTGCTAATTACTTGCATGCCACCTGCTGACATGCTTTTTTACAACTATACCTAAAGGTTGTATCTGCAAGCAGCAGTTGCTGGCTGATCTAAAATCGTTTTATCAATTATAAAACCCTGAAATATATCATGTGGGTATGTATGTGTTAATTAAGCAGGTGCGACCTTGCATTATTTAAATTTCTTGAACATAAACTTCTAGAACAACGTATCAAGAGATAAGTACGCCATTTGCATTCACATAAGGTGACGTGGACCCCATAATGTTTTATAATCATATGCAAATACACTGATGTAATATATGTACACCTATTTTGTTCGTGTTAGTCAATATTTTTTTTAATATTGTATAATTTGCACTATACTCAAGCTCACATAAAAATTACATTCCTTCCTGTTTCCAGTAGCGAGAAAATATTACACAATATAGAATTTTAATCTTGATTCTAATGCATATTGCATAACAGTATCTCTTATCTTATGTGCAATTACAACAATATAAGTGCATTTGGTTCCATGAACTACACTTAGCTATATTCCTCTAATTACCACCAGTCTTTTTGCTAGGTATTTTGGTTTATTTCATCCTTTAATTAAATCAAAATCTCACTACGCATTAAATATAATTTATATAATTTATGAAATAAATATGCTAACAGCACATTCCTGTCATCGTCCTGCTATCCTTCGTCTTAAACAAACTAAAGACCTTTACAAATATTAATTGTCGATAACGTGTAAACGCTTACTTAAAATTAACTTAAAGTTTAGTTTATCATTTGACTACTTAAACGTGCCTCACTACTAAAAGCCTCAATGGTCTCAGTTAAACGACTGTTAAGCTGCCAAATTATGTAAAATTGAACTTTGACTTGAATTGCAGAATCGGTCATTGACCAAATCTGTATTTTTAATTTTGTTTTTAATAGTTTTATTTCCATTTGGTTCTGTAAACCTACTTTTTGTTCGTCAGCC